TATTCTCTCTCTCTAATTAAATAAAACAGAAACTCTATCCTTGTTTTATTATAGTAGTATTATTTTTGAAAATAATGAAATTAATATATGTAAAAGATTTTTAYCTTTTAGRTGTRATRATTTGCCACATTTTTAGAGGAAATTTAATGTTCTTAATAAAGAAAATTGCTATTTTTTCAATTAACATACATGCCGAATGGTATATAAAACTAGGAAACTAGCCAAAAGTCAGTTTTTTATATTATAAAATTTTTATCGCCTAGGCAACTAGGCGCCCTAGTGTCGCCCGTAATCACCTAGACACCTTGAAAACTATGGCCTGTCTACCCCCTAAACCGGGTTAAACCCCAAAACACCCCCAATAGGGATGTATCGGAAAGACCCTGATACGATATGTATTGGCCAATACAGCCCGATATGTATCGAAACTTTGAACCTTGGTTAGAAATCAGATTTCGAAACTCCTAGTAAGATTATAACTTTACAACTCCATATAAGATAAAGTATAGGAGAGAGTCTTGCTAGAGATTATCACATATTCCACTACCTCCAAACCCTAGTTTGACCAAGGCTGAAAGGGGAGAGTTTTCTCTCCTCTCTGACTTTTTCTAGCAAAAACACAATATATTCAAGTCATTAACAACTACACACAAAGGTCATTGGAGTGTACATCAATTCACATCAAGTTACTAGATCAAGTTCTTGGTTTTGAGCTGCACCATCTTCAGTTCCTAGGCTTGATTCGGACCTGAGTTTTGGGCATGAACCACCACTTTGGGAGTTGCAATTTGTGGTATCCATATTAGGTAAGATCCCAATTCAATCTGGACATCAAATTTGGTCATCTAAGCCTAGATTGATCCTACGAGAAAATTGTTTCTCCATGAGAATTTCAAATTCTCCATTCTTGGGCTAATAAAAGATTTAAAATTTACACCTGTAAACCCAACAAGGTTTGACCTTTTGGGCTCAAATAAGTCCATACAACATATACGTGAATGAGATCAGTACATCCTTCTAAAATTCCTCTTTCCAAAAAACTAGGATTTTGAGAAAGCCTCAATTATGGAAGCCATTCTTCTAGGTAGTGCTTCCAACTACTCATCAATTCTGGGAGATAACTCTATCATTGCTTTTTTCCTTTTCCATTAATCCTCTAACACCACACCAACCATTCTATATTTCTCAATTGATGAGGATAATATATATGGGCAAATTTCTTAAAGTACCCCTAAGTTTTAGGAAATTGACCAACTCTACCCCTACTGTTTACATATTGTCTTAAAGTACCCCCTATGTTTTCTGACAATTGACCAAATCCTTCTTTGCTTTTTAGTGTCCATTAATGTTTCATCACAATCTGTTCACATGTGACACCACGTGAAGCATAGAATTTTTTTAAAACCCGGTATTACCCTTTTGTAGTTGATTTTGTCCTCCATTATTCATTAAATTTTCAAAATATATTTTTAAAACCCAATATTACCCACCCACAGTCCACGATCCACAATGTCTAATTTGGCATGTTTCATGAATGCTCTACATTTTCAAACAATCACCATTACCCATTTTCAATATGTATTAATGAGAATGCTGAAAAAAGAAAGCAAGTTCTAATACAGCTCAGAATGAGACAAAAACAGCTTCTTATCTTTTATTGTTTAAGTGAATAATAAAATTAGAAAGGAACCGGAACAGAAAAATCCATCACTTCAGTTCAGATTGAAGGTGTAATCCAAATTGGTGGACCCGTATCTGTGTCAGGATCAAAGGGAAAGCAACTCTCCACCATCCCAATCTCAACGTGATAGATGCCCAAGTGATGGAACTCAAATGATTTCATGTTATGAGTGAAGTAAATGCAATTCTCTTTCAATCCCAAGAACTCAATTGCTGACAGAGATTTGGAGGTATTTCTTCCCAGGAACAACGCTTGGTTCCCCAAACTTTCTTGTTTGTTCCATTGATAATCACCTCCTGATCCTGAATAGAACTCTATCTTTGAACTCTGGACTCAGAAATTATGCAGAAAATGAAGAAATCAGCCATCTCCATTTCTCTCCTCAACATAATCCATCTAAACCAAGGTTTTCTTGTAACTTATCAGAGCCTGGCCCAGACCATGTACCATTTTATCAGCGGCTACATGGCTCTGGTATACATCACATCACATCACTCTAGCTATTTTCCTTCAAATGAAATTGTTGTAGGTTTTCAGAAATTTCTGCAATTATCCATCATATGACCATTTCTTGAAATTAAAAACAGGTGGCCAGAACAGAGGATGGTATAAAGGAGCCACAGGCAACATTCTCAGCCTGCTTTGGAGCAGCATTTATCATGTTGCATCCCACCAAGTATGTGGCTATGCTGGCTAAGATGAGCAAACATGGGGCCACTGGATGGCTAGTTAACACTGGCTGGTTAGGTGGAAGCTATGCCAGTCAGTCTCAGTCATATTACCATCAATTATCCCTATTATCCCTTGGAAATTGGAATGGATTCGGATTTGATTCACCATTTTACCCCTTGCAGCTATGGATTGGGTAACCACATCAAGTTGGCATATGCAAGGAAGATCATTGATGCTATCCACTCTGGTACTCTCCTGAAAGCTAATTACACCAAAACTGAAGTTTACAGCTTTGAGATCCCCACTGAAGTTGAGGGCGTCCCTTCAGAAATCCTGCCATGGTTTGATCCTTCATTCTCAAGTAGATATATGGGTAGAGGCTATACTGATTTGGTTGTTTTCAGTAGCTATCTATAATGGTGGGAGATCAACCACTAATTTTTCACTTGAAACGAAGACATGGGCCACTAATTTTCACCATAAAACTGAAAAGAAACTGAAGAAATGACCACCAAGGGTGTGGGGCAGTAAGCTTGGTGCTTGCATTTCTGTTAATGGCAAGTTTATTCAAATGTTTCATTTTGAAATTTTAAAGAATGATGGGTAAAATAGTCTTTTCCATCTTTCCATTAACAGACGCTAACAGAAAGGAGTAGTCAATTGTAAAACTTAGGGGTACTTTAACTCAATTTCTAAACCATAGGGGTACTTTAAGAAATTTGCCCAATATATATTTAGGGTGAAGTTGCATTTTTGTTTTAAGAGCACCTCTCAAGAGCATCAAAATATTCCATGATGTGCAACAGAACGTAAGCAAAAATGAGTTTGCTCAAGAACAAGAAATTGTATTTATTCCCTCAAAAATGAATCTTCCTTCTAGATTTACCTCATCGCTTTTTGTTAAACGAGAAGGTGGAATTGGAACAGGAATTTTAGCAGGTGGACGATCTCCTGCAGATAAGCGCAACTTCTTATAAACTCAATGATGACAGGAACAAATGCAACAGCAATAATAAACTACAGTCAATGCTCTGATTACTCTATTCTATTAATATCAGTTGAGAAAAGGTCTCCCAATTGAAATGATTGTGATGTTATAGATATGCAGGAACTTTAGTTGATACAATCTTGCCTAGGAGAAAATTATAGGCAATAAGGAAACCCAGGTGGAGTTTCCCATTAGTGAATTCCTACCATCAACACCAACAGGCCAATATGGAGCCTTCGTTGGGGCATCCAAATGCTGCAAAATTTTTTTATCCGCCTTCATGATAGACATTGAAAATCCTACATAGAAAGACATCTGTGAGGATCTAACCTGTTAAAAAGTGAAAATGGTTACTGCTATTAACTAACCTGCCATATCCAAAGAAGTCATGAATGACCCTGTATACACTCTGTCAACAGCCAGCCCATGTTCCAGCTGCAATTTAGGAACTGCCTTTCCTGAAGCAATCATCAGCTCCATTATAGGGGTGCCACCCAACCTTCACCCGAAAAAGGCTAAATGACAGTCTCTTCAAAGATTTTGGAAATGCTAAAACTAAAGATAGACTCAGAGAGGCTGGTTTGGAAAGGTGGCATTTGATGAGGACAATTCTCAGAATACTACAGGAGACTAAGTCAAAACAGTGCTGCATTGTGGTAATCATAATTTAAATTAACCACATGAGCTTAAACAATAATTCCTTGGATCACTTCAAATACCAACTAGTTTTTTGTAAGGAATGGATTGGCTCTTCACACCAATTACCAACATTGTGAACTACGATCCAAGATGAAACACAGTGTTTTCTTTTCCTCAAAAATGTATGGTGATGGTATGCTTTTAGCAACAGAAATCAAGGGTTTTATTGTGAAATCAGAAAATGAAATCCCACCTTTCCATGGTCTTTGGAAAGGGACAAACTAATACACAAGAATTTGGCACACTTTACCATAATACATCAATACTATTACATTGTAAGGTGATGGTATTATCATGTTTAAAAGATCTGAACACACATACAACAATGCCCATGTATACCAAGGAGCTGTATAGTGGGATTACAGTTAAGTGTACGACAAAAAGCCATTACATGCATCATCATCTTGTTATAGGACAGAGAATAAAAAACAAGATAAGAGGGCAAAACAACCTGAGTTAATTATGCCAAACTTAGTCAGCAATACATCCAAAATAATTTGTATCAGGAAATGCTAAATATCCACAGGAGAGGGAAATAACACCAATATATTGTTTTCTACTTCCTCTTGGTCTTACACTATTCTTTATCTTTTAATTGCTCATCACAATTTTCTGACCTTGTCAGCTGAAATGCTAGAAAATTTAATTTACCCAGTTTAGAATCTCAGTCATCAGAATGTTTTTTTATCCCATGTGAAAGAAACATAGAACTCACCCATTAATCATGAGCACGACTCTACACCCCCGTGTGATGGGAACATACTGAGTTTCCTGCAATGAGTGGAAGATTGGAAAAGGAATACAATAATGACATAATGTCAAACTAAGTGAAGGTAAAACAGAATAAATATCAAAATGGTAGATAAATTATTTCATTAGACTTATTTATACCACCATAACCCACCCACCCCACAAGAGAAGTAATTACTCCTACGATCCTAACTTTGCTCATTATATGAGTTGCTTGTAATCAGAATCAAACTAGATATTTAGAGAATTAAAATAAAGAAGTAAAGAAGAGAAAGCGGAGGAGAACAGAGAAGAAACAGAGAACATTTGAGAGACACAAAAAAGTAAGAGGTGTTGGTTTTGGTGTAGGTCATAAAAAGTAAAATTTGATTATATAATGTTAACCTATATCTTTGCCCTTTACTTGTGCTTGTGCATGTGCATAGTACCATGCATGTGCCCTTACACTAGTAATAATAAAGAAAAAAACTGTAACCTGTCTCAGCGGTATGGAATGCAGAACTAAAACCAATTAGCTCTCCACTCAAACTCATGATTTATCTACCAAAAAAAGACACATGATTTAGGAAGTGATAACATCAAAAGTTTGCATAGGAGTAAATGAAACCATGCAACTCTATGGACTTGATGAAGTTGTCAAGCCAAAAGTCAGGGTTAATCAGAGGTAATGGGACTATATCATCTAGATAGTGATGCCAAAGAGCATGAAACTCTATTGACATGCTTCATCCCCTACAGAAATCAAAGATCCCTAGGTGCTACACTTCCATGAACACTCTCCATGACAAAACCAAAGTGGGCATAAGAAAAATATACAAGCTAGCCATCATTTGTCAAAAGAGGAAAAAAACAGGACGTTAAAATTTTCTCGCAGAGGTTTTCTTTAAACAATAACAGTCAAATTGCAGCAGGAAATGCAGGAGCATAAGAATCAGTTATTTAGCAATACACACCAAGGACAAAAAGGCTGCTCACTAGGTAAAGTGAATGGAGGACTTTAAATCTCTCTCTAAATGACATCCTGAGAAAGTGGAAGGAAGTGACTGTCAGCTCAAAACAAGGAAAGAACAATGATGGAATGAAGACAACCAGCAGCCAACTGCATAAAACTCAACTTTGATGGTAGATACATAGGCAATCAGGCTATAGCTGGGATGGGAAGGATCTTTTGAGACTCAGAAGGGAAGGTGCTTCCTTTATTCAGGACCTGTTACCAATGGTGATGCAGTGACAGAAGAATCGTATAGTCTTCTTCAGGGTCTAAAATTTGCTAAGCAGTTTGGGTTTCTTAACTTGGAAGTGGAAGGGGATTCTCAAGTGGCTATCTCATGGACAAGGAATAGTACCCAAATCCCACGGGTTCACAGCCATACAGTCCATGAAGTAGAATCCTAAGCAAGAGGGATGAATGTCACCTTTAGATGGGTAAGAAGAACAGGAAATGGGATGGCAGACACATTGGCTAAACAAGGGACTACAAGACAACAATTTTTTTGGGAAAAAATCTAGTTTCTTCTGGTGGAGAACTACCTTGTTGTAATTCCTTATTTTTTATGCTTAATAAAATTTATCTTTATTGATCAAAAAAAAATATACACACCGAGGACAAAATTTGGTTGAGAACATGAGTAACCACCACATCAACAGGTTGAAGATCAGCCACTGCAGCACCAGGCTCTCCATGCTGAAACATGAATTTGAACCAACCAAATTACAAAAAGAAAAAAAAAAAAAAAAAAAAGCAGACAGGAAACAAATACATTAGATCAGCAAAAATAAGCACCACTTCATCTAAAGATGATGTCAAACAAATGCATGGCCAGCTACCATGCCAAACAGAATCTATTGACTAAGAAATCCAGAATGGATATAAGATGCAATCTAAAGACAAGTTGGTTATGTGATTTACTTACAATTCCAAGACCAAGCTCTATCTTTCCTGGACCCAAACGATCTGAAGTAACCTGTCCAGGAAGTGTGCAAACAGACAATGCAACGCCCATTGTTCCAACCATCTCGGATGCTCGTTTTGCTTCAGCTGCAACATCAGCAAGAGAAAGACCACCAGCAGCAGCAGCCCCTGCAACCTGTCATTTGCAAATTAAAAATATAACTATGAAATCTAAAATCACTTCATTTTTCTCCTATACATTTGGGTCAAAAAAAAAAGAAACATAATTATTAAAAAAGGAAGCAGTAGGTAGAAGATCCAAAGTAGAGGTATGAGAGAAACAACACAAGAAAGGACTCAAATTGGAGTACACGTCAGAGAAAAACTTAGGAAGTTTGAGCAGTCACAAAGATGATAATGCCTTGGTGACAATTTTTTTCTTTTCTTTAGATTAGCAATTATATTGAGATATGATACGAGTATATGAGATTCTTTTCATGAAAACCAAATTATGTATTAGAGGAAATGTAGTCAGACCATTTTTATTGAAAATCTTTTTGTATCCCCAAATGGAAGAGTGGTCTAATTTGTTTTATACTTCCCTTTCTACGGCCACTGGTTGTACTTGGTTCTTTTGTTCTAATGAAATGATACCTTATCTCTTCTCAAAAAAAGAATGTAGTTAGACAATTTTTATTCTAATATCATTGCCAATGAATATGTGGATAATTGAAAAAAATCTGGAGGAAAGGGTTTGGCATGTAGGAGTTGTCTGAAACCAAGGAGGTTCAGACCTGTTTAGTAATCAGAAAAGAAGAAAACAGAGTGGAAGAGAAGAGAAGAGAAGAGAAAGGAAGAAGAGAGGGGAAAGAAATAATAGAAGAGAAAAGGGGTTTGGTCTGCCTTAGTCAGCCGCTCCAAGTGCTATTTATATTAGGCTTATAATAATAAGTGGTGCAATGACAGGAATACCCCTATCACAAGAAACAACTGAAAGAAACATTCTAATAGCACTATAATCAGAGGAAACATATGAACAAGTGGGACCACAAGCTGGTCAATCATTTTCTCTACATTCCCCCTCAAGTTGGGAAAATATATTGATCATTCCCAACTTGCTTAAATCTATCTCAAGCTTGATTCTGTTGACTGCCTTGGTGAAGACATCGGCAAGCTGCATATTAGTGGCAACATAAGGCATACTTCTTGAGAGGCAACTTTCTCTCAGATGAAATGTCTGTTAACTTCAATGTGTTTGGTTCAATCATGTTGTATTGGGTTGTGAGCAATGTTAATGGACACCTGGTTATCACAATACAACATCAAGGGTCTTTCAAACTCAATTCCCAATTCTGTAAGGAGAGATTTCAGCCATAATATTTCAGCAACACCATTAGCCATAGACCTGTATTCAGCTTCAGCAATGGAGCGAGCAACAACATTTTGTTTCTTGCTCCTCCAAGAAACTAGATTTCCTCCAACAAAAGCACAATACCCTGAAGTAGATCTCCTATTATCAATACAACCTGCCCAATCTACATCAGTGTATACTTCAATATTCATATGGCCATTATTTTTAAAAAGCATACCTCGGCCTGGACACCTTTTCAAGTAGGCTAAAATCCTCTCAACAGCAAGGAGGTGTGAGGTCTTGGGAGAGTGCATGTACTGACTAACAACACTGACAGCATAAGAAATGTCGGGGCAAGTCAGACATAGGTAGAGAAGTCTTCCTACAAGTTGTTGATACATACCTTTATCTTCAAGAGGCTCACTATCATTTGCATTTATTTTATGATTTTGCTCAATGGATGTATCTATAGGCTTAGCTCCTAATTTTCTTGTTTCTTCCAAGAGATCAAGAACATACTTCCTCTAGGAAACAAAAATGCCATGCTTGGACCTTGCCACTTCAATCCCAAGGAAATACCTCAACTCACCCAGATCCTTTACTTCAAATTCTTGATTAAGCAATTGCTTAAGAGAATTAATCTCATCAACATCACTTCCTGTCACAACATACACAACTAGGAGAGTTAAAGCAAATCCTTTCTTCTTAATGAAAATAGTGTGGTCAAATTTGGCTTGAACATAGCCAAATCTTTCCAAAGCAAGTCCGAATCTATCAAACCATGCCCTCGAAGATTGTTTTAGACCATACAAAGCTTTCTTCAACTTACAAACTTTCTTACCAATCTCTGCATCATAAAAACCAAGAGGTAACTTCATATGCATCTCCTCCTGCAAGTCACCATTTAGAAATGCATTCTTAACATCCATCTGAAACAATGGTCATGAGAAATTAGCAACAAAAGACAACAAAACCCTGATGGTGTTCATTTTTGCAATTGGTGCAAAGGTTTCCAAGTAATCAATACCACAAGTTTAAGTGTATTCCTTAGCAACCAATCTAGCTTTATATCTTTTCAACTGTACCATTGGCATTATACCTCACTGTGAATATCCACCTACACCCAACAAGTTTCTTCTAGGAATAGAAATAGCAGCAATGGAGGCAAAAAAAATTTATATGATGATGAAAGGTGGTCATAAGAAAGGAAATGGAAGATATAATGGGCAGTAGTTGAGGTACACCAACGCTTCCCCTTGCGTACTACACTTGGGAGGTCAAGGTCATCTAAGGATGGCTAAGGCTCAGTAGTGAAAGTGGGTATGTCATCAGTAGTAGGAGTGGGTAAGGAGGAGACAATACCTGAACCTAGTGCCGCCATAGTTTTCAAGGCATCAAGGCAAGGCTAGGTGACAGGGGGGCGCCTTGTCGCCTAGGCGGGTGCTTAGGCGATGGATTTTTTTTCTATAGAAAACATAAATCCTAGGGTAGTTCCCTAGGTACCATAACCATATTTCCTTAATAATTATTCATAATTTTCATAAGAAAAGTATAGAGTTCATGTTAAAGTATAGAAAATCAACATATTCATGAGAAGAAAAAGAGGGAAAAGAAAATTCAAAAAATATAGGGGTTGAACCCTTATTTTTGTTAAAGTCTTTGGGGGTTCAATACAGCATTTAGCAATGTTATATTGATTAAACCCTAACAAATAAGAAAAATAATAAAAAGAAATTAGTATATAAACACACAAAATGAATATTTTAGTTTAATAGTGCTTATTTTATAATTATAATGTCAAAAAATAAAGAATAAAAAAGTATTTTATAATACATAGTACAAAACTGCTTGGCGATTAGGCAAGGCGAGCCATTTATCAAAAAAAAAATAGGTGAGGCAAGCCTCAAAGGGTGCCTTGTCGCCTAGGCGTCGCCTTGACAACTATGGGTGCCATAGAAGAGACAAGAATTGGCCTGGACTGATCATTACTAGAACCAACTTGCCGCCACCATCTTTTGTGAAAGACCCTTAATTCTTTACACTTTTGACAACTCCCCTCATTACACTCCCCTCCATTTGCAGGAATAGGCAAAGAAACATCTTGAGCAAAAATACCCTGCTCACCACTCTCCCCCTGAGGTGGAACTCTAAGGTAATAGGGGACATCTTCAAAGAAAGTGACATCCATAGATACAAATATGGTTTCGAAACAAGGTCATAACAGCAATACCCCTCTTGATTTTGTGCATGCCCCAGGAAGATACATTTGGCAGCCTTAGAGTCAAATTTTGAATGGGTAGGCCCAAGGATTTGGACAAAACAAGTGCAACCAAAAGTTTTGGGAAGAATAGAAAACTGCTCCTTATCAGGATACAAGTTAAAAGGAGTTTTCATGTCCAAGACTCATGAAAGAATCCTATTAATGAGATAAACAACAGTAAGAATGGCATCCCCCCCATAAACGTATAGGAACATTAGAATTTAGCATGATGCTTCTTGCAACTTCAAGGATGTGCCTATTTTTCCTCTTAGCTACCCCATTCTGCTGAAGAGTATGAGGACAAGTGCTTTGATGAATCACTCCATTTTCGAGATAAAAAGATAAGGGTTTTGCAAAATATTCTTTGGCATTATCAAATCTGAGATTTTTTATTTTAACCCCAAAATGAGTCAGGATCATTTGATGAAAAACATAGGTCAAAGTGGGAACCTCATCCCGAGAACGCATGAGGTAAACCCATAAAAACCAAGAGTAGTCATCAACAAACAATAGAAAGTATTTGTACCCACCCATAGCAGGAATATGATAACGCCCCCAAACAACGGTATGCACAATTTCAAAAGGAAAATAACTTTTATTACTTTGTGAATAAGTTGATCTACAATGCTTTGCCAACTCACAACTCTCACGCTTCAAAATGAACACTTGGATTGACTCGAACAAATTAGGAAAAAGACTCCTTAAAGACCCAAAAGATAAATGACCCAATCGGTTATGCCAAAGCATAATCTAACTCATAGATTGTGACACAAAAGACTTCCCAGCTTCTTTACTCTTCCCAAGTAGATGTTCAAGCAAGTAGATCCCATTCATCTCATGGCCAGTCCCAATCACCTTCCTCATTGCAAAATCCTAGAAAACACAATGATTAGGGAAAAAGGTCACTGAACAGTTCTGGTGTTTAGTGATACTACTGATTGAAAGTAGATTAGTACTTAGTTTAGGAACATGCAGAACCGAGGATAAAGAAATAGCATCAAAGACATTGATGTCTCCCTTGCCTGAAATAGGGACAAGAGAGCCATCAGCAATAGACACTGTCTCTACCAAAGGACAAGCAATAAGTGTGAAATAAGGAAGACAAACTAGTCATATGATTAGATGTTCTTGAATCTACAAGGCTAGTGTTACCTGTGGTAGAGGCATGATAGGCAGTGGCCTTGTACCTGATTGAGTAAAGGCAGAAATGGGAGGAGTTGAATGAGACTGTCCAGAGATGCCAACTTCACTCTCTAGCTGAGATAAAGCAGCCCTAATAGCAGCCAACGCATCAAGAGAACTGGATCTAGTATTGGGTGTGGATGAAGTTCCAATGGTTATAGCTACATTTGCATTTCCTTTCTTGTTCCTAAATCTTTCTGGAATTAGCTGAGGATGAAGCTTTCAACAAGTGTCCTTAGTATGTTTTGGCTTTTCTTACAGTAGTCACAAAACACATCCATCTTTCCATCCTTCTTTACTTCCCTCTCCTTATCACCTCCAATCTTCGGTTTTATGGCTGCCAAAGCTGATTCCATAGATGGAATTTGTAACATAACTTTTCTTTTACTTTCTTCACTATGTATTAAGAGAGTAGGCTTGAGATAAAGAGACACTATCTCTAGTGAGAAGCTGTTGTCTTACAATGTCATAATCAAAGTTTAGTCCAGCCAAGAATTCAAACACTATTTTTCTCAACTAATTTCCTATATGTGGTAGCACCTTTCTGGCTCTCCCACTCAATAGTCTCAAGATGATCAATCTCATGCCACAATGATTTCAAGGTGGAGAAATAGACTGACACAGGTTTCTCCCCTTGTTTAAGATTATTGACCTCAATTTTCAGTTCATAGGCTCTATTAAGGGGCTAAGAATAGGTTTCTTTCGTATTGTCCCAAATCTCCTTAGTTGTCTTTGCCCAAAGATAGTTTCTACTAATATGAGGCTGCATGGAATTGCATAACCAAGTAACCAAATAATTTTCTTGGACCCATTTAGCAAGGGAAGGGTCCTCCTATTCTGGTTTCTTTGTGTCTCCCATCACATACCCCAGTTTTCCCCTCCCTCCAATGGCCATCACGGCTGACTAGGCCCATTCCAAATAGTTTGTTCCATCAAACTTGATTGTAGTAATCTGAAATGAACTGCTGTCAATAGAATTTCCAGCTCCTACAAGTCCTCCATATGGTTTGTTCTCATTTCCAGCCATTTCCATGCTGTAATGAACAATAGATATTCACCAAATGGAGAGTACAACACTGTCCGACTCCTTTTCCAAACAAAAATATTCCAAGTACTATCCAACAGCAGCACCCAAAATAATAAAAAAAAAAAAATCAGAGGCCTTTTTACGAACACAAGGTGGGCGGCAGAAGTGACCAATACTGTCAAACAATACAGACCAGAAGTACAATCCACAAAGAAACCCTAAAACAGTCCAAGAGAACAGCCAAGCCTCCCAGAGGATTCCAAAAATATTTCACACGTCAGACAATCCAAAAGCTAATGAAAAACAACCCAGAAAATACTGGGTGCCACTCTCAATCTTTGATTTAAGCCCTAAATCAGAAATCAACCTGCTTTCTCTGATTCTTCTTGGTCACCGAACAGTTCTCCAAGTTTTCTGAACCTTGGGCACCTTCTTCAATCTCCAATGACCTCCAAGAACCAGGCGCATCAAGCTGAAACTTCCAGCCCTAGAAATGCTCTCATGTAGTCGGATGGACTACACCTCCATGAGAGACCTAACCAATCTTAGGCCTACTCTGATACCAAGTTGTCTGAAACCAAGGAGGTTCAGACCTGTTTAGTAATCAGAAAAGAAGAAGAAAACAGAGATGAAGAGAAGAGAAGAGAAGAGAAAGGAGGAAGAGAGGAGAAAGAAAGAATAGAAGAGAAAAGGGGTTCGGTCTGCCTTAGTCAACCGCCCCAAGTGCTATTTATATTAGGCTTATAATAATAAGTGGTACAATGACAGGAATACCCCTGTCACAAGAAACAACTGAAAGAAACATTCTAACAGCACTATAATCAGAGGAAACATATGAACAAGTGGAACCACAAGCTGGTTAATCATTTTCTCTATAGTAGGCTGGATCTAGAAAAAGAATACAACATTGTGGACTGGTCTTTCCTAGTGGAGGTTATAAAAAAAATGTGGTTTAGAGAAAGATGGTGCAAATGGATCTCAGTGTGCTTACAGACTTGTCAATTACTTAACTTTAGTGAATCGAGTGGTTAGGGATTTCTTTTCAGCTAATAGGAGACACAAGCAAGGTGAACCTTTATCACCCTTCCATCACTCTTGTGGTGTATGCACTTGGTAGACTGATTTCAAGAGTTGATAGATTGCAATTAATCAAAGGGTGGAGAGTTAGCCGAGATAAGCTGGTGCTCACACATCTTCAGTGCCATATCCATCATTAAATTATGGGCACTTAAATCATTTCTTACTAATTCCACCCTAGTCCTTTAATCCTTTTCAGAATCAGTCTGCCCGTAGCTTTCTAGCCCTTTCAACTTATAACAATAACTTCTTCTAATAGGTGTTGTAGATGATCTTCTATGCAGATGATCAAACCAACTCAATCTACTTTATCATTTTATTACCTATTGAAGCAAATCCTAGGTTCCTTCATGTGACTTAGTTTCTGACCCTGTCCCTTTTAGTGTAACAATTCTATCAGGATATGGACCTAACTTTTTTAGTTGCCACCAGACTCAAAATCACAACTATGTTACCCTAACATTGGAAAGCACAAAGTTGGACATGGTATTGAATACATAATTAACACTAAAAATTGAAGTCTCTGACACAATACAGCACCCTTGTACAGGTATCTGGGTATCATAGACCTACATTCTAACACACATGCAGACAGATAAAGAGGGGAGATAAAGAGAGAGAGAGAGAGAGAGAGAGAGAGAGAGGAGCACCTTATGGACAAGAATAGTCCCAGCCAAACCTCTCCGCCCAACTATGCCTCTACGTGGTGGGAGAGCACAATCATCTCCAACAATAACCATCTGCAAGGTGCAAGTCCTTTTTATCTGTTTTGAATTTTGTTTTACTTCATATAAAAACAAGATTCAACAGATGGTTCATAAATAAAATTTACATAAAGTGTACCTCTATTTTATAACCTTCAGATTTCGCTTGTTCAGCAGCCAAGCCAAAATTAAACCGGTCGCCAGTATAGTTCTGTCAACCCCAAAATACAAAATAATGAACCAGGAAATCCCAGCTGAATAGGTGAACATAATCCCATATATATATCCCCTATTTTTAAAATATAAATGCACAAAGAACAATTTTTTTTTTCATGCAGGGTCAAGTAATTGAAACAGAGAATACAAACATTTGAGAAAATCCTAATGGGTTAGAATTCTTATTCAACTAATGAACCACTAATTAATATAATTGATTTAATGATTACAATACCATGACAATCAGAAGACATCCCATAGGACCAGTCACAGCCCGGATACCCTACAATGAGCACTGTTAGTTTATAGACTTTTAATCTAATGTAAAGATCTAAAACAAGCAAGCTAAATGTGCACGCTCCACTCAATAAGCAGGACACCATACAGCTAGTATAGAATCAACAGGAGGAGAGGTGAAAACATCTCCACAAATAGCTGCAGTTAGCATTCCTTCCCCCACAAATCCAGCAGCATAAGGCTCATGCCCACTTCCACCCCCTGAGTCAATAGAGAATATAACCAAGGGTAGCTGAGAAAGGTAAACAATGAAAAGGAAAAAGGAAATGCCCCAATTATAGAAATACCAGGAGCATAAAAAAATTCATAATCTAATATTAGATGATAGCCATAAACATATAGATTACACTGAACCTGAGGTGAACTACAACAAACTGGCTAAATTTAATAAAGTGCATACCACAACAACACATGGCATAGTCAAAATGGAGACATCAATAAGAATAAAAAATCCAGGCACTGAAGTTTGATGTATTCAAAAAACAAAAGAAAAAAAAGAAAGAAAGAAGAAAGAAAATGTCCCAAAGTCATATAACCATCAGAGAGGAAGGTCACATTTTAATGTCATACCCAGAATATCTATCTCAAAAGAGATAGATCTCAGTACCACTGAGAGAGTTCTGTCCCGTGTAGATTTATTCAGCCAAATCCCTAGATTCAGATAGTTGAGGATTGGATCCCAGTTGGAAGACTCTTTCCATTATATGTGTCTGGAATCTGGTGGGCATTAGTTATTTTGTCTTTTTCTCCTTTTAAGCCAGGGGTCCTTATGTGGGCTCAATATATGATGCCCAGATATGGATATGTACACAGACATGGAGGAAATGTGGATACAACTCTCCATTTCCTAAAATTCTGGACACGGATATGGGTATGGTATTCTATATAATATGTTTATATGATTATATCACACATTTATATTTAGTTTTTGAAGCTAAATGTCATTTCTCAAGACTTATGTCTTGCCAAACTTAGTTAAATTTCTAACATGTGCAGATATTTTTATGGTATAATTTGTTAAAACATGCCACTTTGCATATTTTAAAAGTGGACTTTGGCACAATGTTTGGGTCACTCCATTGCAACCTAGGTGACCAGGGTTCAAATCTTGGAAACAGCCTTTGTATATCTACAGGTGTAAGGATAAGAACATATGTCCCTCCCCAGACCCCGCATCGTGGGAGCCTCGTGCATTGGGCTGCCTTAAAAGTATCATGGATATAGAGTACATCTAGAAGTATCTATGTAGTATCTGGTATTTTTTTGATAGATCTACGTAGTATCTGGTATCATACCCAACACTTTATCAGATACAATACCGGTATGCTAGGCATGTACCAATTTGCTTACACAACCAGGCAAATGGTAGGTTCATAGTTGAAAAATTCAATTTAAGTACCTGGTATAAGTCATTGTTTGTGGTTAATAGAGAGGCCTTTTGTTGGGGATGGGGTTGGTCCTAGGAGTTTGGCATGAAAGGAAATTGGCATGGTTTCCACAACCCACACTGGTTCAGGGAAGAGGTGCAACTAAAATCTGGATGATTCTAAACCTGAGCAAGGAAAATTCCTAGAAAAATGGAAGAATTGAAACTTATCCAACTGTATTGGTTCAAGGCAGAATATATAAAATGGATTGACCTATATTTGAAAAGTAACACGGAATTTCCAACTTTTTTGGCTTCATGGAGCTACACCAAGGGGTAGCCCATCCCCCGAACCCATAACACCCCCAACACTGGTACAAGTGGGATTCAACCCCCAAGTCTCCACTACAACCAGCTGGAGACCTTACCAACCAACCAGTTGGCACCTTGCACATGGAATTTCCAACTTGCTAGGGTCAAGATGTACTTAAGTTACTTGATTCCTTTCTCACCCCCCTCCCCAGTGGTGGCAGTGGATGAATCAGGTCCAAACAACCAAAGATTACATGTACCTCTTCCAAGCATGAGCAAACCTTATCCTGGAAAATCCAATTTCAAAAATATAGAAAATTTCTTTTGATATTTCTATTTTGTTCCCTTCTTGTATGTAATAGTCTAAAGGAGTTCTTCAGCTTAATAAATAACTAAATTCTCTTCTGCTGATCAAAAAATTAATAAATAGTCTAAAGGAGAATATTTGCTACACAATATAAAGTAATGTTTTAACTACTTGTACTTTTACATTATCTTCTATCAACAGAATCATTTCCCAACATTTGCTGCAAAGTCGGACTATATTTTTAAAGATGCACTCTATGTGCCAAATCAATTACTCAAGTATCACATCATCTACCATTCAATTGTTTTGTCAATGTTTTGTCAAGGGACAGACCTCCCCTTGAGAGACAAATTCCCTTTTCTTTATGTTGGGTGTGGGTCCAGCCCATATGAGGGGCCCACCCCACTGTTTCATGCTCCCAAAAAGGAACCATATTGTGGAAGCCAAAAAGGCACCCACCTTTATTGATTTGGTGTGCTTCCACTTCGTAATCACTGAAGTGAGAAAGAGAGAAGAAAAACAGAGGGAATCAAGGGTTTTTTTTGGGTTTTGAGTTTTGTGAAGAAGAGAAGAAAGAGCTGGTTTCTATTCTATTCAAGTACAAGTTCGGATGTGTTTTCAAGCCCGTTCTTGATGTGATTAAGTGTTGTTCAAAGAGTCAAGAATCTCACTCCAGTTCAGATTGGTTGTCTCTTCCTTTCTTCTTCTCAGTTTCATATTTACAGCAACTTGGTGAGATCCAAACCTTTGTTTTTTGTTGAATGCGCCTTACATTTGGTGATGTTAATGCTGTACTTGTGAGCCAAGGATTATTTCATTGATGTTTGTAAACCTCTAGTTGCAACTAGAAATGACTATTGTACCCATTAATTTCTGAATTAGTGGAAGACTTTTATGGACCCGTGGTTTTTCCCCAATTTTGGGGTTTTCCACATAAAAATTCTGGTGTTCTATTGTGTGGTGGCTGCTATTTGTATTTTCTGTTACTTGGCTGAATTGTATTTTCTGTTACTTGGCTGCTATTTGTATTTTCTGTTACTTGGCTGAATTGTTTATCTATTGTCATTGTTGTTGACAAACCGATTTTAACACAAACTTAGGGAAAAGTTTCTTGCTGTCCTGGGATTACTTTTCACACTTATTTCTGCTACTGTAGTGTATATTCCCCAACACTTTATACCCATTCTGTTTACAAAAAGGAACTTGTGTCTAAGTTTGCCTCTTCTTCTCTTGGGACTGATGGGATCTTGGTTTTCAAAGGGTCATTATGGATTCAAAAGCCCCCTTTGTTCCAAACTTGCTAAAACTTCTAGAGGGTGTCTTTCTTGATTTCTCCACACTGGATGTTCATATTTGAACTGCTAACCCTTGTTGCTCCTTTTCTTGTGCTTCCTTCTTTCAGGTTTTGTCCTCATCCTTTCCTTTGCCATGCCCTTTTCCAACTCAGGAGTTTTGGAATATGCCTGTGCAACACAAAATCAAGGCTTTTTATTGGGAGGTGTATCATGAGAAAACTAATACTTGTAACAAATTGCAGAAGAGAAGACCTAGCCAGTGCCTTTCTCCTCATATTTGTATTCTTTGTTTTGCTAGTTGATAATCTACTTTCCACTTACTAATCACCTATTCATTTGTTTCTTGTATTTGGGAATGGTTTTCTGTTATTTGGTTATAGGTGGACTATCCCATTAGACGTGGCCAAACTATTCACCCCAACAACATTCCATTTCCAAGGTGGGAAGGAAGAATAATGTGAAGATGTATTAAGACAGCAATGAGTGCAAAGATCAGAAAATGTCATAGCTGATGCTTTGGCAAACATGGGGTAGTTAGGGAAGAAACGTTTTGGGCACGTATGTAAGTTGATAAGCTATTGAGATGGGCAGCAGGCCTGCCCTATATGTTAGGGTTTTGTAATTTGTAAATACATTACTTTTCCATGATTCAGCAGTGAAGAATTTTGTTATCCAACAGGAAAACATGTGTAGCATAGCATCTTTTTTTTTTTGATAAATAAAATTGTTACGAAATTATAGGCTGTAAATATGTAGTATTAGCCCAATTAGGAATAACTTGATTATAGGAATTATTCTTTCTTTGATTTTCTTCCTATTTAGTATCTACAAGGCTGTATGATTTTCTTCCTTTTTTGTATCTGCAAGGCTGTATGATTTTCTTC